TCATAGCATTGATTAAGACATTGATTTTTTTTCCTTCAGTTTTTCTGATAGTCCAACTTTCATAGCCATGCATTACAGTTAAGAAAATCGTGAATTTGGCAATACATATCTTTATTTGAATTCCAGCTCTCCCATTTATTTTACATAGGGACGAGATAAATAAAGTTACAAAGCAGAGTCATGTTTTGTTGTATATTGAAGGCTCGTTTTCCAATTTTTTTTAAAAAAAATTTATACCGCCCCTCTCCCGAAGGACTCGGGGGGGGGGGGGGTGAACAGCCAGGATTAAAAAACATACAATATAAACATTAAAATAATTTAAAACATAATTAAATCTGAATTGGCTTCCCCCAATTTAAAACCCCTTACCCATAAAATTAGCCAATTAAAAATTGTCTTTTGTTTATAAATATTTCCTTTTATGACTTACTATTTCTACACTGAGCTTGTCGATCGAAAGGTTGGCAGTTCAGCAGTTTGAATCCCTAGTGCCACTTAACAGGGTGATCTCCCGTTACTTGTCCCAGCTTCTGCCAACCTAGCAGTTCGAAAGCACGTAACAAATGCAAATAGAAAAATAGGGACCACCTTTGGTGGGAAGGTAACAGTGTTCCAGCTTTGAAAAGAAGATGAGCACCGCCCCCTAGAGTCAGAAACGACTAGCACATATGTTTGAGGGGAACCTTTACCTTTGCCTTCATTTCTACTAACTATTAGAACAGGAATGCATAAATCTAACATCTCTAGATCTCTACATGCTCATTAAGATTACGTTTTTATTCACTGCATTCTATTATTATTTTGTACAGGACAGTTTGGTTCCCTGTAGGTGGACAGCACAAGAATTGTCTTGCTTTGCCTGAACCAGAAGTGGATGCAAAGATCAATTCTCATTAAAAAGAGATGTTGACAACATAGAACCTGAGAGAAAAATTAATGCATCAGGAAGACACTCCTTGGAAAAGTTGGGTGGCACCCAGAGATGGAAAAGGCCATGACTATGTTTGCCAGAAATTAGAAAAAAAAGTTAGGTATGAACTGGAAAAATAAGGTTTTCTGAAACTTGTTTGTACATTCCACAAAAATTCTGTGGCTTCTAAATAAAATAGCAGTCCAGATGCAGTCTTATGACTGCAAGCTGCCCATTTGATGGATAGAAGCCCTTGCTGTTGGTATATCAGTCTGTAAATTAGCAAATATACAGCTCTTGATAAAAAAGCTAGCTCCAGAAAAAAACAAATTTAAGAATAAAGTGTTGGCGGAGATCCCTATTGGAGGGTTTAATATATAGTCCTAGCTATATAGAGTTTTAATACACTATCAAAGTAAACTTGGGTAGCCTTACCCAACAATCTTTGTTTTTGTGTCTATCTGATAAAAATGACATGTCAGTATAAATGAGGAGATGTTCTCTTAGTCTACTCCTTGGCATTTACAGGAGTTGAAGTGCTACACATGTGGAAGGCAACAGGTTGTAGAAGACTATCATAATCCAACTCATGCAACTCAATTCTTCTTCACATGGAATAAATACATGTTTGCATTGAGACTTTGAGCACAATGTTTCCCTCTGTATTTCCCTTCAATGCTTTGCTTTGCTTTGCTCCTGAAAAATTATCCATCACTATTTACTATGGTTATTAATTGTTTATTATGGGAATTGTTACACTGCAGCATTTTGAATACAGAATACAGCATTAACCATTGTTTTTATTTTTGGTACTCATGTTACTTCTTGCTGGGAGAGCCTTGTGCGGTCCAGCAACCAGAAGGCATAGACCAGTGGTGGGTTGCCTCCGGTTTGCACCGGTTCTATAGAACTGTGTGGCCCCATTGCGAACCGATAGTAAAGTTAAGTAGAACCCGTCCCTGGCATAGACTATTTGGCCATGACAAAGTCACATTGCCCGAGATGCACCACAAGGAGGCTGGTCTACATTGCACTCCGATGGTATACAATGGTATCCTTCGCAATCACATTATTAAGATTGCATTGGTGCAAATGTATGGCAAATTTAAGACACTTTCGTTTAGTAAATATAGTGTACCAGGAAATTGTATGGATGGTATAAGGCTTGAGAAGGCTGATCTCTTTGGATGTATGATTCACAAAGGGATGTCCATGGAAATGTGGATGTATTTTGAGATACAGTATGTGCTGAACTTTTGACCCCTGCCAACCCTCATTTTTTTTCTGAAGTCATTGCTCCTGGGCGACATGATAACAACACACCCTGCCTATTGAACTGAGTGTAACTGAAGATTTACCAAGCAATCTCATATTTGTGTACTGCCAAGTGAACCAGATAAGTCCATATGCATCCCAAACATTGCACAATTAGTTCATCTTTCAGACTGATAGATTATATTTATTTATTGGGAAAAATATTCTATCTTTCCTGCAGTTTGTATGAAATAAAATGGGATGGATGAGATTTGTTTTTGATTATGTTTAGAGTTTTAGAGTTTGGTTACAACTTTTCAGGTAAAAACCTAGAATCAAATTTATTGGAATCAAGTTACTGTGGTGCTTACCTTAGAAAGGCTCTATTGGGTTAAAACAAAGTCAGTGAGGAAACTTTTGTGGCAGTCACTACTCCAATGTACGCAGATGGGGGAGCACTCCGGCAGGCTCAAATATTATGTCAAAATCTAACATATGACTTGGCTATACGGTAGTGATTTTAACTTAAGCTGGGACGATTGTGGTATTTCTCCCAGCTGTTAGTGTCAATGAATCTGGAACAGTGTAACTTAAAATAATTCTAGGATATATGTTTTTGTGGCAAAGCTAACCATTCCTTGATGGAACAGATCCATCATTCCACACTAACAAACTGCACTATATTAAAACCAGTTGGAGCAGCAGTACTGAAGTAATTCATTTTTTTTTTTAAATCCTAGAGACTTTTTAAAGCAGTAATAAAGTTTTGGCATCTCTGCTCATCTCTTGTTTGCTTAAATTGTTCTACAAAGAATAACAGCTTGACATAGTTAGCATAACCAGAACAAACCTTTCCCTGTTTAAATTCTTCTGCATTATTTCTGGGCATTTTTTTTTTTAACATTTAAGAAGGGAAAGCCACAGTTTCTTCCATATTTCTTTCCCTGTGATACTTGAACAACATTTAAGAGGCAATAAATTCTCCAATGCATTCATGGTCCATCCTAGATGCTTTGAGGATCTTTTTCCATCGATAACATATGAACAGCAACACCAAGAAATTAAATACTTTCTCTAAAGTTACAAAATAAGATGTAATGGAAATATTCAGATCACTCGTTCTGCCCATGTTGAGTAACTGAAGCTAAATCAGTACCAGATGGATCCAATCAAGACTCAGCGGAATTGTAGGAATAATCTTTATTCACAAGTTCACTCAGGGGTAGACAGAGACAAAAGAAGATCTACTGACAGCATCTTCTATTGGATGTACAAAATTCATCTGTATTGCTAATTCAGCCTTTTTTCAATCTAGACAGAGGCAACGTCCTCATTGCTGTAAAATATATTAACCCCCCCCCCAAATCTCTGGATAGTATGTAGTTCCTGGACTAAAGTAGTGGTAAACCAGTTCTGCACTGTTGTTACGAAAATAATATGGACATGTCAGTGTAATCACCACTTGAGCTGAACTTAAGGAAAACCTAACTTACTACTTGTCACGAGTGTTTTAAGGATTGCTGTGACTACTTGATCAGTCACAAACAGTATGGTTTCAATCAAGCCATCTCCTGTTTGCAATTACCTGCAAGCCTTCCCCGCCCTAGTTAATTGCAGGTTAACTCCCCATATAAGCAAGGACCTTTTCGCTTGCTACTCGGGCCTAAACGCTGTTTAGGCCTAGATGCAGAGCTCCTGCTGGAAGCTGCAACGTTACAGAAGGGAGGAGAACACAGATAAGGACTCCAGACGCTGTTGCAGAGATACTCCTACGGATGCTTGCCTTTTGCTGTTTTGAAGCACGCAAGCCATCATCAGAACTGCTGCTGCTGGACATTCTTCCTCCCACAAGCTTCAAGCTACGTTTGCTGATTGAAATTGTTTTTTCTTCAGGTGACTTTTTTAGCTGTGAAGTTTATGCTGCCGCCCTTCTACTACCTCGATGATGTATCGACACCGAAGCTGCTTATTGTCATGTTAACCTTTTTCTCTTGTGAACTGTTTTGGTATTGTGGAGAGGAATCTAGGGAGATAGCCTGGCTTCACATAACCAAGATAAGACTTTGTTACTAATGTGTTTTTTTAAAGACATAGTGCTTTTAAAATGTTTTAAAGTAAATCATATTTTTATACAAGACGCCTCTGTCAGATTTATTTCAGTCCTAGTATGTTTGCTCATGAGCTGGTTCACGGTCTGGGGTACCCCTCAACCCCACTTCCTAACACTACTGATTTGAGATCAAGGTATCAGAATGATCCATGACTTGTTACTGTTCAGATTCTAGCTGCTTTTAAAATCCTTCTAGAAATCAACATTATCTTCATTTTGTACCAGTAGCCCTTCACTTAATGATCACAACTGAGCCCAAAATTTCTGTTGTTAAGTGAGACCTTTGTAAAATGAATTTTGCTACATTTTATGACCCTTTGTGCCTCAGTTGTTAAGTGAATCAATGCAGTTGTTAAGTTAGTAAGATGGTTGTTAAGTGAATATGGCTTCCCCATTGACTTTGCTTGTCAGAAGGTCGCAAAAAATGATCACGTGACCTCAGGATTCTGCAAGGATCATAAATTAGAGTCAGTTGCCAAGTGCCTGATTTTTGGTCATGGGACCATGGGGATGCCACAATGGTCTTAAGTGCGAAAAATGGTCATAAGTCACATTTTTCAGTACCGTTATAATACCGAATGGTCACTAAATGAACTATTGTAAGTCGAAGGCTACCTGTGCATATATGAGTAGCTCCAAAACACTTTGTAAAACAGACTAGGTTATGTTTATTTATACTGCTTTGGTTACAGATGAGCTTGATATTAAATTTCTTCTATTTTACAGTATATCTGGCTTGAATAGTTCGGTGGTGATGAGACAGCAGATTCTTTTGTCTGCCTATGGTTGGCTGGCTGACTGGTGAGTTTATGTGATTTTTTTTTTAAAAAAATGTTCTAAGTGAAATTGATTCTATGTATGTTTGCAAGCATCATCAAGTTATTTGGCTGACATTTACAGAAAAAGAACAGCTGAAGTTCCTGCGAAACAAGAGACAATCCTCCTATCGGCAATGATAATAACTACTCTAACCGTGTGTGATTGTGTTTCCAACCACTCAGCATGTGTGACAAGACCTCTGCCTTGCTGCTTCCTGCAGCCTAGACTGGGACTCAGATGCTTCGTGCATCAACTATGACATCTGGAGTTACAGGACTTTTCCAAATGCAAGTCACATCCTTGAATTTAGGGCAGCTTGACATAAATAGTTGCCAGTTCCAAAAAGTTAACAGCATGTAGAAAAATTTTCAGAGTCATTTGCTGAAAGTACAGATGGGGAATAAAAATATTCCCTACAAAGAAGTATATAAAAATGACAACATTAAGTACCCCTGTGGAGTGAGAACTGCAGTATTGTAGGTGATATTCATGTGGTAATCATAGATTGTGAAAGTTTTCCTTACTTCAATAAAATAGAGAGTATGGGTGTTTTGGAATAAACAGTAAAGGAGACAAGTTTTATGCTAATCTTTCATTTACTCCCATCCGTAAGCACAAATCCACACAAACACACTAGATATTGCAGAAGAAGGCAGAGAAATTCAGAGGAATGAGTATGATGCTCATTTGATCAGCCTTCTACAATTTGGTACTCCAGATATAATAGACTACAGGGTCTCCAGCTCCAGGCCATTGGTCCTACTGATTGGAATTATGAAAACTAGAGCTTCAATGCTTCTCAAGAGTGCCAAATGTAAAAAATAAATAAATGAATAGGCACTCCAAAATAGGCACTCCTTTAGAGTGCTTCATGGCTTAGGACCTGGGTACTTATGGGACCGCCTTCTGCCACCAGTAGCCTCTCACCGGCCAGTACGCTCACATAGAGAGGGACTCCTCAGGGTGCCGTCGGCCAAACAGTGTTAACTGGCGGCCCCCAGGGGGAGAGCCTTCTCTGTGGGGGCACCTGCCATCTGGGATGAGCTCCCCCCGGAGATACAGATGATCCCGGATTTACACACCTTCTGCCGTGCCCTCAAGACTTTTTTATTTCAGCAGGCTGGCCTGGCCTAACTTCCCTTTTAAATTGTAAATTTGTTTTAAAATATTAGGGGTGTTTTAATTTGTTTTGGGCCAAATTATCTAATGGGTTTTTATATTGTCTTTTAAATTTTGTAGTTTGTGTGTTTTATCTCTTTGGCTGTTCACCGCCCTGAGTCCTTCAGGAGTAGGGCGGTATATAAATTCAATAAAATAAAAATAAAAATAAATAAAATAAATTTGCCTTAGAGAAATGCTACAGTTGGTACATTGGGGAAATTCAGATGGTGACACCCACACCGCACCAGCTGTCATGGCCTATTGGCAGCCACTAAAAATGAATTAATGCTGGAGTTACCTTTGTAAATGAAGAAAGAGCTGAAATGTAGCTGAACAAAGATATGCACATTTAGAAATTATAGAATAAGAGATGAGAAGAACTCTTGGGGACCCAGGCTCTGCACTTCTCACACACACCCTCACCTAGTTATCAGCTGAAGAGCTAATGCTTATATTAGATATTGTGTCCAGAATCCACTCTGTGGGATGAACAGATAGTGGTGGCAGTTTGACACCATCAAAGCTATATTAGCCGGATTATGAATTCTGGAAACCATTCTTACAATGCAACAGAAAGGCATGCTGATAGATAAAAGAAGATAGCCAAATCCTTAAAATTCATTATAGATTATTAAATATATGTTGAATTTTTAAAACATATTAAATCAACTTTTATGATGATGATGCAACATTTTAAAACATGTGTGGTTGTGTTAAAACTGAAGCCATATAAATCTCTTATCGTATTAAAAGATGAACAGTAAAACAAATTATAAATGGAACCAGCATGGGGGTAGAGGGGTTGTTTGAGTAAGAGCCTTAAATACCAACTTCAAGGTTATGCTACAGAAGCCATAATAAGTTTAAAAATATTTTTTACTTCTTTGAATGTGTACATTTTGTCATATCACATACATAAATGCACTTACAGAGGATTTTTTTTTTTTTAAAAAAAGAGAATGGCTCTTGTATGGTATATTGCTTTTCAAGGTTTCTTAATTTTCCCCAGTCTGGAAACTCTGGGACATGTTGGACAAATCTGTAATGTCTTGTCATGGGATTCATATTCTGGCGGATATGCTTTTAATGTTTTCATTGGTTTGGTCCTACAATTTTCATATGATTCTATGTGTCTTTTGGTCTTTGATTGGGAATCTTCCAGAGTTGATTGAAAGATGGGTGGCTATATAAATTTTATTTATTTATTTATTTATTTATTTATTTATTTATTTATTTATTTATTTATTTATTAATACTTCCATATACTTACAGGATAATAGGCGACAGAAAAACAAACAAACAAATCCTAATTAAATTTAATCTTTTAATTGGAACCATACTTTGAAATGCTTTTTGCAATGTTTGTTATTTTTGTTTTTTGCAAAGATCTTAATCTATGCTTCTCTTGATACAACTGCAGAATAGCATGAGCAGAAATAATGATATTTATTCTGAGAGGAATTAGAAACCCCCACTATTGCATCACTGGTGCTCACATTGTTCTGACTTAAAAGCTGGCTTCCTTATTTCTTTGATTCACCAACTGTCATCCAGTTTTGTCCCCCAAAGTTATTAATATGGGGTGAATTAGTTGTTTAAATAGAATTAATTAGAAGTACAGATTAGGGCTGCAAAACTCAGGCAACCATTACATGGCAGTGCTTGAGACTCCTGCATTTCTTTAAGGTCATCTATTTGTTTAGATATCTGCAACCTAGGTGTGATAGCTGATATTACTGTTAGACTATTGGACCAATATTGCTTGGCTTCAAGTCCCACTCAGCCAAAAAGGTCAGTGGGTTACTTTGGCTTGGCCACCACTGTTTTTTAGTGCTTGTCAACTACTGTGATGTCTGCTTGATTGGCTAGTACCTGCTTGTCTGTCTGGATCTGGAAGTCCCACAGGATCTTAGCTTTCTTAGTCTCCATGACCTTCTGTGAAATCTCCCATCTGTTTTTAGAAAGATGTAGCCCATATTCTGTGCAGATGTCCCTATATTTTAGCAACTCTTCATCTGGACATTTCAGTAGTCATACAGAAATTTAGCAAGCATCTGTTTTCCTAACAGATGGATATCATGTAGTGCAGAGGTGGGTTTCAGCAGGTTCTGACCAGTTCTGGAGAACCGTAGCGGAAATTTTGAGTAGTTCGGAGAACCAGTAAATACCACCTCTGACTGGCCCCACCCCCATCCATTCTCTGCCTCCCAAGTCCCAGCTGATCAGGAGAAAATGGGGATTTTGCAGTATCCTTCCCCTGGATTGGGGAGGGAATGGAGATTTTACAGTATCCTTCCCCTGGAGTGGGATGGGAATGGAGATTTTACAGTATCCTTCCCCTGGATTGGGGAGGGAATGGAGATTTTACAGTATCCTTCCCCTGCCACGCCCACAAAGCCACTCCCATCAAGCCATGCCATGCCCACAAAGCCACACCCACAGAACCAGTAGTAAAATTTTTTGAAACCCACCCCTGATGTAGTGGCTAAAGTTTTGCCAGCTGTATTTCTCTGTGTAGGAGAAAGGCAAAGAAAAGAAAAAAAGTGCCAGCCTTTAGTCTTAGTATAATAAAACTATCAGGATATATCACCTCTGTACAATTCTCAGTCCAAACCTGGACAATTACAGTTTATATAGCTGTATGAACTACATTTGGTAGCTTTTATTGGGTCAGGGCCAATATGACTTGCAAAGGAAACTTGTGAATCAAACCAAGGATTTGCCAGAAAATAGATAGCCAGGTGCTAACATTTAGAAATGTAATGTAGGTTTGCCTGCGATTGTAATATTCAAATGAAAGAACATGCATCATTATTAAATCCGCCATGAAAATTTTTCCAATTATTGTGAATCGATCATTTCACATAAGAGCCATGTGACTCAAAGGGTTCTCTCCAGGGGTGAAATCTAAATTTTTTTGCTACCGGTTCTGTGGGCGTGGCTTAATTAGTGGGCGTGGCTTGGTGGTAAGGTGACTGGGTGGGTGTGGCCAAGTCAATGTCACTTCTTTGCCATTTTTTAACCTACAAAACACAACACAACACAACTGGCTCACCCACAATGTAAAAGCAGCTGTGCTAGATCCAAAATGGCCCCTGCAACAAGCAGGAACCTCACACGGCCACAAAAAGCCCAAAAAAACAACTTTCACACTTTACACACACAGAACACAACACAACACAACACAACTGGCTCACCCACAATGTAAAAGCAGCTGTGCTAGACCCAAAATGGCTCCTGCAACAAGCAGGAACCTCACACAGCCACAAAAAGCCCAAAAAACCAACTTTCACACTTTACACACACAAAATTCCACATACAGCTTTGTGAGATTTTGTGTGTTGTGTAGTTAGAGTGAAACATTACAGAAACACACTAAATCTCAGAAAGCTGCACAAATATTATTTTATTTTAATTTATTTTTATTTTTATATAAAAGCAGCTAAATTTAAAACTTCCTAAACTTTAAATGGCTAGGTCTAAAAAAGAACAACTAAAAAAAACCCCAATTAACTATTTTTTTTAAAGCTCCCAAAGGGGAAAAAAACTTACCGAATAGAACAGGGGTCTTCAACCTTGGCAACTTTAAGACTTGTGGATTTCAACCCCCAGAATTCCTCAGCCAGCTTTGCTGGGAGTTGAAGTCCACAAGTCTTAAAGTTGCCAAGGTTGGAGACCCCTGCAAGGCAGGCAGAAAGGCAGATAGACCTGCTCACCGATGAGCTTGATTGCAGGCAGAGAGATTCAGTTGCTTGCTGATGCAATGGATTGTAGGTATTACAGCAAGCGAAGCAAGGCAGGCGTTGCGACCAGCAGCTAAG